CCAAAGGTCTTAGCAGACGCGACGGCCCCGCAAGGGCGTCCCGCAGACAAATCGTCCTTCCCTGCTTTCCCGGGCAAGCCTCCTTTCCAAGCGAGCCTCCTCCTCCTTTTCGTTCTGTCATCCTGGTTCAGATCCTAGCAAGAGTAGCCACCCTGCGGCGCAAAAAAATGTCCAGAATCGCTCAAAAGAGCACAGCTGTCTGCAATAGCAATCAATGGAGCCGTAAGCAAAGATACCGGTGGTGACACGTACGTGAATGCAACGTCTTATCCGTATTCACTTGATCTCCCAACACCATGTCGATGATCGCGTGCCGCCGTCGAAATGTATGATGAAACCGCCTCAAACAGGTCAATGCACGGATTGGCCGGAGGAGACACCTCCTCGCAAAAACATTGGGCATCCATCGTCACATGGAGAAAGTGGCCGACGATCTGGATGGCGTCCCGGCTACGCCACAATATCGAACCATAATGTGCTCGACACGATGACATATGTCAGGATCGGGTCGCAAAATCCGCCGACCCTGTCGGCGTGTGCGAGGAGCTTCTCCCTTCGAGTTCTCGTCTCCGTCGTCTCCTCGTCGTCTTCGTCGTCGTCACAGTCGTCTCCTCGCCGTATCCGTCGTCCCCCGTCCCTTTCCCTGGGCCCTCCTCAAGCGTGCCGCCCAAAGCGAAATTGTACAAAGTCGTATTGGAGTCGAAGGGAAGCCCCTTCCCTTTGATCCCTTCCCAGCGGGGGGAGGGGGGGTCCCGGGGGGGTCCCAGGGGGGGGGTCCGGGGGGGTCCCCGGGAGGGTCCCAGGGGGAGTCCAGGGCCGCCACCCAGACTCCTTTTCCAGCGTGCGGCCCCGACATATCGAACAGCCCCAAGAAGAACTCAGAAAGCCGAAGATGGCTCCCAAGATTGCCCACAAGAACCCCGTGTCGCTCAAAGACCAGCCCAACACGGCCAAGATGGCCCTAAGACGATCCAAGAAACCTCCTAGACGTCCCAGGAGCTCTCCAAGAACACCCCCACCAAGGCTCCAAGAGGCTCCTCCCCTCCTCCTCCTCCCCCTCCTCCTCCTACTCCACATCTGTGCCCCTCCTCGTCCTCCTCATGCTCCTACTACTACTACTACTACTACTACTACTACTACTACTACTACTACTACTACTACTACTACTACTACTACTACTACTACTACTACTACGACGACGACGACGACGACGACTACTCCTACTCCTACCTACTCCTACTCCTACTCCTACTCCTACTCCTACTCCTACTCCTACTCCTACTCCTACTACTCCTACTCCTACTCCTACTCCTACTCCTACTCCTACTCCTACTACTACTACTACTACTACTACTACTACTACTACTACTACTACTACTACTACTACTACTACTACTACTACTACTACTACTACTACTACTACTACTACTACTACTACTACTACTACTACTACTACTACTACTACTACTACTACTCAGCTTTCCTCTCCTCCTCTCCCTCCTCCTCATTATCCTTCCTCTCCTTTTCCTCCTCATTGTGTTCCGTCCTCTTATTCTTTCTGATTATCCTCCTCCTCCTGACCTCCCTCTTCTTCCTATTCCTCGTCCTTCTCTTCATCCTCCTTCTTTTCCTCCTCCTCCTTATCCTCTTCCTTTCTTTCCCTCCTCTTTCTCCTCCTCCTACCTCTCCTCCTTTTCCTTCTCCTCCTCATCCTAATCCCTCTCTCAGGCAGGATAAGCAGCAGCGAAAGGAGACAACGGACGACCAGAAATCGATCGACGAACCCCTTCCTCAGCCTCCTGCCACTCCTCCTCCTCCCCCTGCCCCCCCCCCTCCCTTTCATATTCGTCGTCTTCAGGGTCGGCGGCACCGGCCGTAAACCCTTCGCAATCGACGAGGATCGGAAACGGATTGGGAACGGATCGGATCGCCGGCGAGTCGTCCCGAATCATATCGAAATCGGATCGGCGCGCCCGGCCTCCGGCTGGCCCCGGCCGATGCTGGTGAACCGAGCCGAGACGGATCGAACCAGAATCGCGGCCCCAACTGGCGAACCGAATCGCATCGGATCGGATCGTAGGTCCCACCTCGGTCACCTCGGGTGGGCAAACAGGGCCGAGGCTCAGAACCTGATGCGAAGGATGCCTTCAAAGTAAGGAAAAACTGCAGAAACATAAACTTTGGGAGGTCCGCGCGGATTCCTTGGATCCGCGCTGGACCCCCCCCCCCTCCCTGGCGCTTGGAGCGCACCAGGGGCGGCGCTGGAGGCGATGCCGATTCGACGAATCAGCGCGGGCCTCAGAGTTAGTATGTTTATGTCGTTGTCTGCTCCCCTGGAGGGTGCCCCACACCCACGGGCGAGTGGACCCTCAGGGACAGGGTTCGCGGAAGGTCGCAAATCCACCTCCGCCTTCCTCTGCCGTGAACCGAGCGGGTTCCTGAGGGAAGCGGGTCCTGGATCTCCTCGTCCTCCTCGTTCTCCTCGTCCTCCTCCTTCTCTTCTTCTTCCTCCTCCACTTCTTCTTCCTCCTCCTCCTCCTCCTCTTCCTCCTCCTCGTGTTCCTCCTCCTCCTCCTCCTCCACCATTCCCTCCCCGAGGCCGGTCGAAAGGGCGGGCCGGGCGTTTCGCCTGAGATCTCCGCACCATGTATGATCCTCAAGCTTGAAACTTGCAAGAGCTTCACGAATGGAGGGCGAGTCGCTTTCAAAATCAGGCTCTCGCTTCAGCGCCGCGCACACTCGTCTTATTTGCAAGAGCTTCACGAATGGAGGGCAGCTCGCTTTCAACATGAGGCTCTCGCTTTAGCACCACGCACATTCGTCTTCAAACTTTGCAAAATGTTTACGGATGGAGGGCCATTCCTTTTCAACATATAGTTCTCGCCTCAGCACCACGTATACTCGTCTTTACAAGTTCCTAGAGAATCACGAATGGAAGACTGTTCCTTTTCAAAATGTGGGTCTCGCCTCAGCGCCGCGCAAATATTGTTTGATTTGCCAGAGCTTCACGGATTAAGGGCGGGTGGTTTCCAAAAAAGTGTGACTCTCGCCTCAGCGCCGCGCACAGTCGTGGTCAAATGTTGCAAGAACTTCACAGATTGAGGGCGGGTGGTTTTCAATGTAGTTCTCGCCTTCAAGCCGCGCACATTCGGTTTTCAAATCTGCAAGAGCTTCACAGATTGAGGGCGGGTGGTTTTCAAACTGTGGCTCTCGCCTTGGCACCGCGCAAATCCGCTGCAAAAAATGCAAGCGCTTCACAGATTGAGGGCGGCTCGTGATCAACATTTGGCTCTTGCCTTAGCGCCGCGCACATTCGTTGTAAAAACGATCAAGCGCTTCACGGGTTGAGGGCGGTTTCTTTTAGAAATGTGGTTCTTGCCTTAGCGACGCGCTCATTCGTTTTAGACATTTGCCATAGCTTCACTGGCTCTCATGGTTAACGTACTAGAGAAGGTGTCTAGGAACGAATCATGATTGTCAGGGCGCAACAGATGCGTTGATTCGCGGTGTGAAGTCCAAGGAACGGCGTTCTAGTACGATTCAGGATAGCCAAGGCGTAACAGTCAGATTAACTCGTGGCGCTGAAGTCCTGAGAACGGTGTCCTGACGCGCTCCCAGATGCTCACACGGTTGCACCCCAACGGGGCACTTTCCTCCGTGGAAATGACTCCTTGCCTGTGAGGAAGGATCTTGGAGGGAGGCTGTATTTCAACATCGTTCATGAGTCTTGGGTTTACACTGGTCCTCCTCATCATCATCCTCATCCTCCTCCTGCCCATCATCCTCCCAAGGGTAGTGGCACGCCACAAAACAACTTCCGCGACCGCGTGGGCAAAGAGGTACTCAGAAGCGGGTGGCGCATCCGACAACGCCTGAAACGACCAGGCTTCGGCGTCCCCGCCGATCACATGTGCATCAGCACAACTACTGGGCAACACGGACCCTTGGCTTGCCCCAAGAACGGCTCCTCATACCGGGTCGCTGACGGGTCCCGAAAAAGACACAAACCCACGACCCGCCCCTTCAGGACCCGTGTGCTACGTCATAGCGATTGATCTCCGCCTCCAGTTTCGGGTGCGCCGAAGCCCTGATTCACACACACGCACACACACACACACACACACACACACACACACACACACGCACACGCACTCACTCCTCGAAGCCTGGTGACTTTCTGGTCAGAATTTGAGCCTCAAGGGGGCGTTCGGGACGATCCGGGCACGCCCGTAAAGCTCTCGAGGCGCAGTCGCTGAACAGCATCCCAGGGCGAGAACACCTTCAAGGGCCGACGAAAACTTCCCCCCCCCTCCGACAACGATTATCTCCCGCCCCTGTCCTCTCCCTCGACTGGCCAGACGGCCTCCGTCGTCATTTCTGTTATCCACGCCCCCCTCTTGGACGCCGCCGACTCCTGCCTGGAGGCCTCCCAATTGGGGTCCGAGCGGATGGGGTCGGAGGATCGCACCGCATCGCCGTACATCGCCGATGCACCAGCGATGCATCGACCGTGCATTGGCGATGCATCGGTGACGTCGGCGCGGAACAAAAAGCGGGCTTCATATCGAGCCTGATCACCGATTTGCGGCACGACGCCGCGCGGATCGCTCAACCCTGAACTATCCGCGGCACTTCGATCACCAGATTGTTGATTGTTGGCCGATTCTGGGCCAATGTGAGGGGCAACGATAGGGCCCATGGGGGGGGACGTACTGATTTGAATTCGGCGATATATCGCCGATAGATCGGCGATAGGCCCCCGATAATGATTCCGCAAGTTACTGGGCAGGTTGGGGCTATCGGGCACCTATCGGTGATCAGTGGTCGATTTGGGGTCGATGCACCCCCCCTATGCCTATCCCTCCCTATCGCTGCTCCTGAATGGCGGTGTCCAACCTTGAACGCCCGCGGCGGGGTCGCCGCCGCGTCGACACGACACGAACCGAGGCCGCACTCTGGCCCCATTTGAGAGGCGGACCGCTCCTCCCGCGAGTGCGGGCCTGCGAGATGCACCGGGCCCACGCCACCCTTGACGTGCGTCATGTGCAGCACGTGGCCGGTCACGGCGTCGAGGGCGTAGAGGTTCAGGGACGTGACATTGTCGGTGACGCTCTGGCGGGGAGGGGGGGAAAGGGGTACCCTGAGAGACCTGGGTGATGCAAAATCTTTCACGCTGGGCATTTTGGCCCGGGCTTGGGCCCCAGGACCCTCACAGTTCGATCCGGCTCGAAAAATGCCTCAGGAAGATGGGATCTAGGGCCTCGGTAGTGATTTTCCGCGAGGTTGTTTTTGTCGCAACTATGGACCTCATGATATCGGCATTGTTGGTTGGGATTCGATGGATCTCTCTGGCCAGGACTGAGACAGGGGTCGCTGCTGAGTGAACGGCTTCAGGACGCACGGGATTCGAGCGAGGTTCAGGGACATGACCTTGTCGGTGACGCTCTCGCCATAGGTGGGGAGAAGGGGGGAATCAGCACGATTGAAGAGAATCCAGGAAGTCGTAGAGAAAGAAAAACGCAGAAGCATCAACTTTCGAAGGTCCGCGCGAGTTTCTCGGATGAGCCCTACCCCCTCCCTAGCGCGCTCCGCACACGCAAGAGGCGCCGCCAGGGAGAAAATCCAGCGTAATTCAAAAAAAACGCGGACCTCCTACCGTTGATGCTTGAACTGGATGTTCGAATTACGGGAAAGGGGTCCTCGTGATGTTGAACCGCTTTCGGACCCCTGGGGCCCTCCACGGGCCCTGGGGCCTCAAAAGAACGACTCAGGATGGAGAACTGGTCATGGGTCCTTCATGGCGACGGACGGGCGGACGCGCGTCGCGGTTCCTTTAGGAACGGCTCGGAGCGGTGGCGTCCTGGCGCCGAGAAATTAGAATGATGGGGGCGAGGCTCAAAAAGGAAAATTCGGCGGCCCCCTTGGGAGCCCAAGCCTGTGAAGCCCCCAGCCAGCATGCCGCCCTGCGGTTGAAGTAAAAACTACGCAACAACAACACCCGAACAAGAAAGATCCGAGTTCCCCCTCCAGCCCCTGGCCTTGACATTGACAAAAATTGCATTCGAGATGTTGTATTCAAGATTTGTCCAACCTGCTTCTCCAGGAACACTTGTTCAATATTACGGCTCGGGGGCGGAGGAGGGTCATGCAAAGTGGTTCCTAAACGGTTGTTGCAAAGCTTTTTCCTTCAACAGTGCCTCCCCAATCGTCTCTTTCTGCCGTCTGCTGGGGGGGGCTGCGCGGCGCGTCGTGTCTGACCCGCCCGCCCACTCCTGCGCACGGGCAACGGTAAGGGGGGATAGGCTGAGGGGGGATGCATCGACGTCGCCCGCCCGCTGATCGCCGAGAGGAGCCCGATGGCCCACCCCGCCCCGGAACGTGCGGGCATACTATCGGGGGCCCATCGCCGATCTGTCGGCGATGCATCGCCGATTCCAGCTCGATGTCTAATCTCCTGAGCTGGTCCCACCCTCAGTTGCCCCTGGTGGTTTCGGGTCATAACTTCGGCCCCTGGTGGCTTTCGAACCCTTACTCGAGCCCCTGGCGGTTCTCCGGGACGATCCAGGCACCCCTAAAAAACGCTCTCGTCGAGGCGCGGCCGCTGACAGCACCCCGAGGCTGGGGAGCCGCTGAGAGCCAAAAGAGCACGTGTGAAGACATCAAACCTCAAACTCCGAACCTTCGAACGCACCCCCGCTGTCACTGCCCTCGCCTGCGCGCGGGCGCGGGATGCGCTCCGCGCTCCTCCCGGCGCGGGGCGCCCGCCGGGCGCGGCGCTCGTGGCCGCCTCCAGACGGAGAGCGGGGCGAGGCCACGCGAAGATCTGCGAGTGCCCAGCCCGGGGGCCAGGGAACCCCAGATGGCCGCCAGGTATGTTCCGGACGGCCCAAGACGCACCCAAGAGGGACCCAGGATGTCCTCCCCAAGAAGACCTACAGAGGCCCAAAGAATTGATTGCCTGCATGTCTTTGACGGACGTGCGCGCTTCAGTCTGTTCAGCCTTGCGACGGCCCGAGGCCCCCAAGATCGCCCCAGACCTCCAAGATGGCCCCATGATGGCTCTAGCGGCTCTCGAGATAGCCCCCCGAGGGCCCCAAGACGGCCCCATGGGTCCCCAAGACGGCCAAGATAGCCTCCAAGACGGCCCTGAAGCGCCCCCAGAGTACTCCCAAAGGCGCAGCGAGGCGCCCAAGACGGCTTCCGATTGCGTCCGACGGGCCAGGAACGCCCTAAAACAAGCCAAGAAAGTTTCCAAGAAGCCCCAAAGAGGCTCAAAGACACTCTCAAGAGGCATCCCCTTACGAAAGCCCCCAGAGGGCCCCAGGACGGCCTCATGGGCCTCCAAAAGAACCCGAGCACCATCGGAAGCGCCCCAGATCGGCGACATTGGTCGGAGGCCACTACAATATATGTATATATGTATAACACTGTATATACATATATATTATTTACATGCATGTACACACATGTATACACATGCATGTGTGTACATGCACACATACATACGTATACACCTGCACATACTATATACATGCACGAATGCATGCATGCATACATACATAAGCACCCATACATCTATAACATACACACATGCATGCATGCATGCATGCATGCATGCATACATACATACATACGCATACGTGTTGACATGCATACATGCATACATGCATACATACATGCATACACTCATACATACACATATGTATGCATATATATATATACATACATACATACATATATACATACATACATACATACATACATGCATGCATACATACATACATACATACAAACATACGTACATGCATACAGACATACATACATACAGACATACATACACACATACATATATAGATATGCGCGCACGCATAAGCACATACATACATACAACACACACATACATATACATACACACACGCATGCATACAGACAGGCAGACAGACAGACAGGCAGGAATACATGCATGCAGAAAAACATAAATTCGTAGATACTACAAACATACATACATACATACATGCATACATACATACATGCATGCAGATGTGCATTCTTGAACACACAAATACGTACATACGTGCATAGGTACATGCATGCATACGTGCACACGTGCATACATGCATACCTGCATACATGCACACACGCATACATGCACACATGCAGACACGCATACATGCGTGCATGCATACGTGCAGGCGCACATCTATGCACATATGTATATACACATACCTATACACATGCATATACTAGACCGCACATAACCAGACCAGGTCGGGCAAGCCACGACCAGGCCACATCCAGAAGGGGGGCGATGCTGATCAAGGATGGGCTAATGGGGACGCACGAAGCTTTCGGTGTGGAACAGGGCGAGCAGGAAGTTCCAGAGATCCGGGCACGCAGATTTGCGGCAGCAGAACGAACGATAGAAATAACACATCCAAATTCCTGGCGGAGGCGCAAGGAGCGCATCGGGGAGTTTTCGTCGTCGCCGTCCTCCTCCTCCTCGTCGTCGTCATCGTCGTCGTCGTCGTCCTCGTCCTCGTCGTGGTGGTCCTCGTCGTCGACGTCGTCGTCGTCCCGAGCCACTCACAACCCTCTGGGGGATGGGCGAGCAGTAAGCTCCAGAGATGGGTGCGCAGGTGCACGCATGCTCTACTGCAGCAGGCAACGCAAGGCGGAAGAGGCGCACTTCTTTCCTGAGCGCAGAAATGACCAGCGGCAGCTTGCCCCGCAGAAGCACGCCCAGCCGACGGAGCCGCCGGTCGTCAGCGGCCGAGGCCGGGACAAGCTGTCAAAATCAATCCGCCAGCCTGAAGCACAAACTGGCTGACAGAACGCAGACTGGCGATACAAAGTCCCCCCAACTACAATGCGCGCGCTGTCCAGAACGTGCTGGCGAAAGACACGAGGGTCTGGCCAGATTTCGAAGGAAGTCACAAAGCGCCACAACAGCCCAACTGTGAACCCATGGGGGCCCCATGAGAGCACAAATGCGACCACGGTAGCCCCGAAGGCTCTCTCCAACTCCTTTTCCTCTTCCTCCTCCTCCTCCACCTCCTCCTCCTCCTCCTCCTCCTCCTCCGGCTGGCCTTCGCGGGGGTGGGGGGTCCAAACCCCCCCCCCGCGCGCCAGCGCCGGCGCCGGCGCTGGCGGCGGCCAGCAGCGCCGACGGCGGGGACGCAGCGACGATTACCACCACCACCACCACCACTACCACTACCACCACCACCACCTCAACCCACCACCACCACCAACCCACCACACAACCAAAACCACAACCACCACCACCACACAACCACCACCACCACAACCACCACCACCACCACAACTCCACCACTACAACCACCACCACAATCTACCACACCACCACCACCGCCACAACCACCACCACTACCAGCAGCACAACCCACCACCACCACCACCACCACCAAAACCGCCACACCACCACCACCACCACCGCCACCGCCACCATCACCAGCACCACCTCCACAAATCACCGCCACCACCACAACCCACCACCACCACCACAAACCACCACACACCACCACTTAACCACCACCACCACAACCCACCACCACCACCACCACCACACCACCATCAAACCACACCACCACCACCACCACTCACCACCACACTACCACCACTACCACAACAAACAACCACACACCACCACCACCACCACAACCACCACCACCGCCATCACCACCAGCACAACCCACCACCACACCACAAACACCACACCACCACCACCACCAACACAACCACCACCACCGCAACAATCCACCACCACCACCAAACCACACTCACCACCACCGCCACCACCACCACCACAACCCACCACCACCACCACAACCACTATCACCACCACAACCACCACGACAAACCACCACACCACCACCGCCACCGCCACCACCATCTTGACCTACCACCGCCACAACTACCACCACCACCAAACCACCACCACCACCACCGCCACCATCACCACCATCTCCACAACCTGCCACCACAACCACCACAACAACCACCACAACATCCACCACCACCACCAACCATACCACCACCACCACCACCACTGCTACAACCACCACCACCAACAACAACCACCACCACCACAA